CGATCGCACGCGCGGTGCTACAGTCGTGATGCAACTCTCCACCAGTGATCACCCCTGGCTTATACAATACACTGGTACCTAAACGTTTTTTTCTCATTAGTCATCCTAGAATAAAGAAAACATCCGTTCCTGTACCCAACCTGTATAGTTAATCTCGATTACTGCTCCATTCGTAACCTTTTCCAGTAGCCTCAAAAAGCTAACTTCAAAATCTATGATGTCAAAAAACTTCAGCAATACGCGTGTAGGAACTTCTCTTCGAACGTGTTTTGATCCCCTAACCTCGCAATCCCGGATCACTGTCGTCAGAACGGATTTTATTGAATTTAACTGATTTTCCGCTCAGCGTGGCGAGAATTAAACGTTGTCGAAAGTAGTTATGTCCGGAAAATTTTAAACCTTTGCTCATTGTATTCTTTGACAAGATAATAACAGAACAACAGTTTTATTGATTATCAAACATCTTAATGTATAATTTTGATTGGGCATTCCACATGCCGATCAGTTTTTATTAAATTATGTGAAGAGATCTATGGCGACGTACAGTATTTTTAAACACAATCAGATATATATATATATATATTTTTAATATTTTAAATCAATTTTATCCAGTTTTGTATAGGAATCAGATGATTCAGGAAAGTGCAAATCTTTGTGCTGCACGGTCAAATAAACTTGTTTTCAAATCAAGATCTTGTAAGAAAGCATGATTCGGTGCAGCTTCCTTAAGTTGACTGAGTGATTGTTAAGTAAGGCAACGCGAAAATTTAGGTGAGATACAATTTTATTCGCGAAAATTAAAGAAAGGTAATAATCCACTGTACTTACTTGATATAGCGATTAACAACTTCATTTGATTTTCCTAATAGGTTGGAGACCACTATCAAATTTACGAGGGTATCTGGATCATCATTATTCTATGTAGTAAAGAAAGAAAGAATTATTGAATTACAAAGTTAATATCTTATCAAATGCTAATTGTTTACCTTGTTCAAAGCTTCCAACAATAGGCTTTCGGCTTCAGGATATCTCCCTAGATGAATATTACAAACAGCTTGTCCATTCAATACTTTAACGGTGCTTGATGAAGGGGATTGCGCGATTTCTTCGTATATGTAATATGCCTCTTGATACTTATCACCACCCTTTTAGAAATATGCCGATTAATCATTAAAATCTCGTTCGACCGGTCTCAAAGGATATTAAAAAAAAAGAAAGCTCATTGTACCGTTTTCAACCCAACCCAAGCTTCAATAAGTTGTGCCAGCATCGCGTCCTCGGCCCAAGTTTTTGTCGCCGCGAGCTCTCTTTTAGCTAGATCTAAGCGATCCATTTGTAGGTATATTTGGATAATCAATGCTACACTAATAATTTTTACCATTGATCGATCGATGAATTATGTAAAAAATGTTAAATCATCGATACCGCAACCGCAACTCTTACCACTCGAGATTCTTATTATGTCGGACTAAGATTTTCAATGCATCTTCAAATAATCCTTCATGATAATAGATCGTACCGGCTACAATCTGGACGGTTGCATTCGATGTGTTCGCGGCGTCACCCAAAACCACCTCCCTGAGCTCCTTTAACGCCTCCTCTTTTTTTGCGTCAAAAGCCTGCCCGCCAATCTTGGATTGCAAGTATATAGCCAGAATCTTGACTACTCTCAAATCGATAGGGTCTGTTTCCTTTATTTCTGAAACAACTAGATTATACTTGCCCTGAGCGATGTATGCTCGATACAAGTACACTTTCTTTTCTAACTTGGCGCTCTCTGAAACTGGGGCACTTTTATTGGCTTCATTGATAACCTGCTGGAATGACCCTGTATGTGAATGTAAAATGTATAACGCTTCATCGTTTTTTCGTGAAATCACCGGAAGAGAAATTAAGAGATTTACCTGTGTAAAAAAGATTTCGCAAAGCGAACAATTCATCCATCTTTGCCCGTAAAAAATAACGTCAATCGTATATACATACAAAATCTCATGTGCGACTGTTGATCATTAATTATTTTGGTAAATCGCTCCAGAAACTTGTAAATTACAAAAAATGGTCAGTCTTCAACAAAAGCAAATACTTGTGAGTGTCGAGAAAGAGGTGGTCACCATAACTCTAAATAGACCGGAGCGTGGAAATTCCTTAAACACTTCCATGATCTTTGAATTTCTCGATGCTTTTAACTCTGCAGTAGCAAATCACTCCGTACGTGTCATTGTTCTGACAGGAGCCGGTAAATTTTTTTGTACAGGGCTAGATTTACAGGTTGGAAAGAATTCAGCAGAAGACGCCTCCAGTATGTTCGACATAGGAATTCGTTTATATCAAACCATAAAAGAATGTCCAAAACCCGTGATTGCAAAGATAAATGGACCAGCAATGGGAGGTGGATTTGGCCTGATATTCACAACAGATTTAAGAATCGCCGTGAGCAATGCTTATTTTTCCTTTCTCGAGGTTAAAAGAGGTCTCATTCCGGCCATAATCTCATTGTACATAGTACCGGAACTTGGCACGTTTAAAACGAAGCAATACATGTTAACAGGTGAAAGGATTACGGCCGATGAAGCTGTTTCAGATAAGTTTTTGACTTGTACTGTTAAGGATCTAAAAAATTTGGATGATAAAGTGGCTCAATGCGCTGAAGAACTTTTGTCTAGTGCGCCTAGTGCGACA